ATTATATAAAATATGACAAGAACAAGTTAAAAACAGATTAAAAATTATTTAAAAACATTAAAGCATTACATCGTGAAGCCACTTGATGATTGCACAAAATGGCGGTCATGGAATAATGAGTGAGATAAACCCTTTGACAGAAGGCCGAAGGTTGTCAATGTCTGTGGTGAAAGATGGAACGAATTGTGGGCGTGTGCCAACGTTGCCAAATCACTTCAGATGATGTGATTTTCAGAATGTTATGTAAGAAATTGTTAAACCGACCAGAGGCAGTTGAATAAACTATATTTTAATTAATGGGAAATTAAATTAACAATTATTATTAAATCGTGAGAAGAGAATTATTAGATTTTGAGTGGAATGAAATTTACTGGTGGAATCGGCCAAGATACAGATTCTATTTATGGTTGTGAAGAGTCAAAATTTGGGGAGATATGTAAGTTCTCCAATTTTTCGCAGTTTAGCAAATATGAGTAAATGACACTCAGTTGTTTAACATCTGTCTTTTTGTTGATACAGTTGTTATTCATGAAAATGTGGGACATTTCCAGGAATAAACGTTTGGAAAGGTGTTTTTCTTTATCAAGAACTTTGATACTTGTGTAATTCATAGAATGCCCTGTTGTGTTAACATGAGATGCTAGAGCGCATCTTTCAGGATGAAGCCTAGAATCACTTTTGTGTGATGTAATCCTTCCTTTAAGAGATCTGGAGGTCTGACCTATGTATATTTGGTTGCAATTGTTGCAATTGATGGAGTAGACTGTGTTGGCTAAGCCAAGCAGCGGGACTTTGTCTTTCATTTTTGAAAAATGCAGTTTATGGTGAGGACGGATTTGCAAGCAATTCGAAAGTTCGAAGGACTGCACAATCTGATCAGCTTAGGGGTCAGTTCCAGGACAGCAAAACCAGGTCTGAAGTCCGGGTTGGTGCTTGTACTGTTTGGATTGATGCTATTATTGGGAATTACATCAGTTCCGTTATTAGGGGTTGTGCGACTATTACCTGCATCATCAGAGTTCGGCAAAATATTGGAAGGTGAACTAAATAAGATATTGTTAATCAGACACTTCGGATAACCATTATTGATGAACAGTTTTGATAGTTTACGTAAATTTGAGGTGTGGAAAGTATTATCTGAGATGCTGATTACCCTTGTTTTCATCTGTTTTACCAAACTGATTTTAATCCCTAGCTTATGGTATGACCTAAAATTGAGAAACCGACCTGAGGCCGTAGGTTTCTGGTACCAGTCTACCAATAAACTGTTGTTGTTGGTGCGGATGAGTCTTGTGTCTAGAAAGGGGACAGACAGGTTCTCATCTTCTTTTTCAATGGTAAATTGGATGTAAGATGTAAATTTTGTCGAAGTACCCAACAAACGGCGGAAGCTTTAATATTTCACCTAACTGTTCTAGACGACAATGACCACGTCTCAAGTTATATATACAGGGTGACTTTGAAGTTGAGTCATTAATTTTCAGATAATGATTGTAGAAGGAATATAAACCAAAATATGTGTGTAAAAATAAAAAAAAAAATTAAAAAAAAATGTTTACCTTGTTTTATAAAGTATCCTCCCGACAAGTATTTCAGTGCGGACCTGTATTTGATCGTGAGGTCCCCTGTGAGGTCTTAAGTCACCTGATTCACGAGCCCGTAGTACTACATTAACAAAGGCACGAGGGGTTGGTTGCACTCGATTGGGAAACCGATCCGCATAAACATGTGCCATTTTTTATTTCGTTTGACCCACGCAACAGATACAACTATTCACTGACACTGACTGTATACAAATGAATGAAATAATTCGTTCCAATTTCTTTCGCTTTTTTGTTTCCGATGCGATGAACCGATACGACGGATTATATCCGTTGCCGCCAAACACGAGCACATTGAGACAGGGCGGTACTCAAACTTCCAAAGGGCTATAACTTTGTTACTTTAATTTTACCAGAAAAATGGTAAAGGAAAAAAACATTTCTTTTGATCAGATCTACTCACTGTTAAAATAAATGACTCAACTTCGAAGTCACCCTGTATATAACAAAAAGTAGTTTATATATACGAGCCCCTTCCCACTTCAGTTGGCCCAACTATTGAAATCTTAGTTTTTTCTTATCAAACACAAATAATAAAAATGTAGCAGTGTGTTACAAGTTTAAAATATTAGCAATGTATATTTTGATAACATATAGTAGAAAACTCCAACTATCACTCCCTAATAAAATTTGCAGCATAGAAATAACACATGTTGCAATTACAGCATATCAACCTATTTTCATTTCAGTGCAAAATAAGTCTATAACGCATAGGTGGTTGTGAAAAATAAAAGCCATGACAATTGTTTTTATTAATCACAGCTGTCAGAATACGTTTAAAATAGTTTTGGGTAGTTAAGGTTTTCAAAATTGGTAGAGGAAAGGTTATTAGTGAGAAAATTCGGTTACTGATAATTAAATTTTTTAATTCTGGGAAATCAAACTCAGAAATTTAAAGTTTGTTAGATTTATCGCGGTACAGTGTGAGAAATATTGTTAGAAGATATAACGTAACTGGTTCAGCTAATATTAAGCTACGATATGTGAAAAAAAGTAATATCACAAATGCCGACCGAACAGCCTCAAGAAGAATAATCGTGAAAAACAGGCGTGCCAATTATTTACAATTAAGTGCTCTGTGGAGTGACTCTGTTGGAAGGAGAATTTCGAGGTCCACAACTCATAGAGAGGCCCACAAACTGGGATTTAGCACTTACAAGGTAAGTTTTCTTATAAAAAAGTGAAGAAAAAACGCTAAAGTTGCACAACCTGTTTATAGGCCAAAGAAAAGCCACTATTAAGTCCACTGCAAAAGAAAAATCGGCTTAGATGGGCTAAAGAACATAAACAATGGACACCTCAACAATGGTGTGCAATAAAATGGAGTGGTGAGGCCCGATTCGAAGTTTGTGTTGGTGACAGTCGCAGTAGAGTTATTCGCAAAAAAAATGAAGCATTCCATGTTGACTGCCTGAAGAGAAAAGTGAAATTTCCAGGATCCATTATGGTCTGGGGCAGTATGTCATCAAAGGGAGTAGGAAAACTTAATTTTATTGATGGAAATGTGGATACAAACAAATAATTGGTAATTTTAGAAGAATCGCTTTTACCAGTGATAAAAGAATGTTTGACATCCAGCCAAAATTTTGTGTTTCAGCAAGCTGGTGCGGCTGCCATACCTCAAAAAAGGCTATAAAATGGATGGAAGAAAATAATGTACCACTTTTGAAATGGGTTTCTAGCAGTCCAGATCTGTCACCTATTGAAACTTTGTGGCACGAGATGAAAAAGGTTCTACGACAACATCCTGCTCATACAATCATCGAACTGAGACAAAAGCTTCAAGAAATATGGGATTGTTTTACACCAAATTTTTGCCAAAACTTGGTTAACACTATGCCCCAAAGAATTTCAGCCGTAATAAAAAATAAAGGTGATGTTACCCAATGGTAATCCTTCAATTGTTGCTTTGTTAACTTCGCGCATTTATTCGCACATTGTTTATTTGTTCTGGTGTTCTATTAGTTATAGGTCTACGTGATTTCAAATATGTATTTTTTACGACTAGAGTGTATCTAAAATGTTATTGAGAAAATAAATTGTTTTAGAAGCAAATAGTAATAGTAAATCTTGAAGTGGGCCAACTGAAGTGGGACGGGGCTAGTATATACGAGCAGTCGTCATTGCCATTGCCAACGGCCAGTTGGGCAAGAAATACAATTAATCATTAATTGGGAAATTGGAAAACTTTAGGCTTAGTAAACTCTTTCGACCGTAATCTCGAGCTTTCGGCACGCTATGATGCTATTACAGAACTACCTACATAGTAGCAACACACCTCACAGGTACGAAACGACCAATGACCTTTCAATGACTTCAATATCACACCTCATATGCCACTGTAGAATGTCAGTCGGCCGGCACGTGTTGGATAATGTGGAGGTTATCAAGGAAAAGGAATAGATCTCAAAAGATTTTTCAATAGGTGATAGTTTTTCAAGTTCAGGGAAATTTTTAAATATTTAAAAAACATATCTATGATTTGCCATTTATTCATCAAATAATTCCGTCCTAATCGAACCTCATGGGTCCAGTTTTTTATTCGTCGACTGTGTGTTCCCTTCACTGTCGTTTAAGAACAATTTTTATACGTATATATGTTATATATACATCTTATATGTAAGAAGAACAATATCGGAGCCAAGACCGACGAACATCTTGCAGCCAGAAAGAAAGTCAGCCACCCATCTGCAAATCTTCTCGGTGTCTTGACGCCAATCGAAAAACAAAATACCATCGCGTTTACACATTTTAACTCCAACGTCGAGATAGTCTGGAATGATTTAGAGGTGGTATCAGAAATGGGGCCGAAGTTCATAAAAGTTCCAAAACGTGCGATAGTACATGGACAAGCAACACCAGCATTCCATATTCGTTTTTCTTTTTTTTTCCCATGTAAAAGCTGTATCGCAACGGTCGTGGCAAGCGAAAAATATTTGTATCGTGTTATAAACTACATCTCACCTAATGGACGGATAAAAGGTTACCGCTTCGCGTCGCTTTCGGCGGAATAAAAAAGTATGGTCATGGTGCTAGCATATCGAGCGGCATGTAATGTACGATTTTTCAGGGCACGAACGCTTAGGGCTACTTGATTAGAGTACTATGAACTGAGTTGACGGCTATAGTCTGAAAAACGTTACTGCAGCAAAAATCAGTACCGACTCAGAACTGACATTCCACGACCTGGCTTGGCGGCCCATATCTCAGCTCAAAGTAGTATAAATAATGCCGGTATTTATAGTGGACACTCATATAGACCCTTTAGATCCCCTTAGCCAAGGAAGCCTCAAGGGTCCCTCAACATTCGCTTTTATAAACGTAACTCAAGCTCCCCTCGGATGAGTAGGCCTTTACATTTGGCAACATCGAAACGTGACGAAACATAACCCATAAACATGCCCAATACAAATAAACAAACATCCATAAAACAATAAACTAGTAGAAAATTCCGAAAGTTTTAGCCCTCTGCAAACCAGATATTTATCTTTGGCATTCATATTCTGATTCATATTCCCAGAGTGATCCAGATTTTCAGTGTATTTTCAAAATTCCTGATAGATACTTCCTGTTGCCGCTATTACTTTATTTATTAATACAATGAATAATACAAACAAGAGTAAGTACAAAAATGTATATTTAATTTAAAGTAACTACTATATAATCTATTCCATTTTTTTTATATTGCAACTACCACGAAGGCCTAAGGCCTAAACACCCATTGGGTACCGTGGGGCTATAGGGGGATATAGGGGAAAGGGGGAACGCCACACGGACTCTGGCGAGGGAACACGTGTGCATACAACATGCACACATTCTGGCTTCGCCTACGAGATCCGCCGGGTGGTACCTCCACGTTCGACAGTCAGAGACCATCTACCACCTACGGACAATCACAACATCCATAGCCAAGACAAAAATTTATCCTGGAACGGGACTCGAACCCGCACAGCGCACGGCGACTGATCAGGAGACCGAAGAGTCTACTACTGCGGCCACCGCTGCTGTCCATAGATTCATGCGAGCGAAAAGTTTTTTCCGAAAGGGACAAATTGTTGCTTATATCATTAGTTGACAGTTATAAGCACATACTAGAAAATAAGAAAACAGATGCCACCAATGTCGAAAAGAAAAATGGGGCCTGGAAGGAAATTACAGATCTATATAATGCAAATGATGTTTGTCCTAGAACTGATAAGCAATTGAGAAAATTGTGGGAGAATTTGAAAGAAAGGTATATAGGAAATACATAATTTGTCTTTTTCTAATTTATTACCAAATGTGTTTTTGTTTCAGAACTAGGAAAAGTGATTCAGAAATGAGAAACAGTTTAATTCAAACTGGAGGTGGATCACCAGTGGAAAGTGAAGATAATCCAATAAATGAACGAGTTCGGTCAGTTGTCCCTACAATTAGTTATGTAATTGAAAATGAGTGGGACAGCAATTCTGCGATCCTTTCCGAGAGTGAGTATAATATGGTACCAATGGCACACTTCACATTTACCTATTTTTGTATTACAATGTCATTAGATTCTCAACTTCAATCTGAACCCAACGCATCTCAAGCATTTATTGAAGTTACTGATGCACAGTCGAATATGGGCGACATAGACCAAGATAAGGCTGAAATAAAAAAAAGCAAGATACCACTAAAGCAAAAAATTCACTATAAAAGTTTTTCTAAAGGCTAATCCATCGCTTGGTCGATCATTAACAATAATTATATTATCAACCCAATCACCATCTTCGTTAAGCTCATTTTCTTGAAAGACATCATTCAAGTTTCTAGCAATGTTGTGTAAAATTGCTGTTGCACATACAGGGTGACTTTGAAGTTGAGTCATTAATTTTCAGATAATGATTGTAGAAGGAAGATAAACCAAAATATGTGTAAAAATAAAAAAAAATTAAAAAAAAATTTACCTTGTTTTATAAAGTATCCTCCCGACAAGTATTTCAGTGCGGACCTGTATTTGATCGTGAGGTCTTGGAGCACCGGCATGCTGTCGCCTGTGAGGTCTTAAGTCACCTGATTCACGAGCCCGTTGTACTACATTAACAAAGGCACGAGAGGTTGGTTGCACTCGATTGGGAAACCGATCCGCATAAACATGTGCCATTTTTTATTTCGTTTGAGCCACGCAACAGACACCACTATTCACTCACGCGTCACCGACTGACACTGACTGTATACAACTGAATAAAATAATTGTAAAAACATCGTTCCAAATTCTTTCGCTTTTTTGTTTCCGATGCGATGAACCGATAAGGCGGATTATATCCGTTGTTGCCAAACACGAGCACATAATATTATTATTGAGACAGGGCGGTACTCAAACTTCCAAAGGGCTATAACTTTGTTACTTTAATTTTACCAGAAAAATGGTAAAGGAAAAAAACATTTCTTTTGATCAGATCTACTCACTGTTAAAATAAATGACTCAACTTCGAAGTCACCCTGTACAATAGCGATCGAAGTTTCTTCTTTGGTTTGAAGTGTTCTTCTCAAGCATGGGAATCTTCTTTTCCAGACACCAAAAACGCGTTCAACTATATTTCTAGTTCTTATATGTGCTCGATTGTAATTTTCTTCTGACTCTGTTACAGGATTTATAACAGGACTTAACAAATACCTTCGGCATGCATAACCATTGTCTTCCAATAGAATTCCTAAAATGAGTAGTTACGTTTAAATATAAATGCTATAGAATACTAATTACACACCTTGTACTTCATTACTTTCAAATTTTACTCGTAGACCACTTTGTTCAAATATAACATTGTCATGTGTAGAACCTGGATGTCTTGCAACAAGATTTAAAATTTCTAAATTTGGTCCACATGCTACCTAAAAATTATAATGCACTAATTCTGCGCATCTCTTATGTAACGTTTGGGAATCCTTCCTGCTGAACCTGCTTCTTCCACATATTCTACCCGTTCGATAAAATCAAGAAAATTGTGCATATCCATTATTTTTCTAAACACAAAATGTCAAAGACATTAAAATAGGTACCAAATATTAAACTGAAGGAGCCCTCAAGGTACCTTTGATGCTCCCTCAAGTTTTATAGAAACTTAAGGGTCCCTCAAGACAGACAAGCCGACTATAAATGTGAAATCTCGACTTAAGGGCGCCTCACGATTGAATAAGCCTCAAGTGAGCTTTATAAATACGGACATAAGTTGCTTACGAACAACAAACATTTTGACCTAACCTAAGTAAAACTAACTGAGCGACGCTTACGATTTGACCCAACTTAGTTAGAACCTTACCTTTCGCGGATTTTCGTCTGAGATATCTTAGCTGCTGTAAGTTGGCGCCAAACACGACGTTTTTGAATGTCTGACGTTCATAATTGAGGTTAGGTATCTTTAATGTTTGTAAATAAATTCCCAAAGTCTCCATTTAGTGATTAATTATGGACGAATACGAATTAAAGTTTATCATTAATAATGATAATATCACTTTATCAGAGCATGTGGATGGAACTCATCATTTATTCAATAAGTACGCAACAGTTTGATTATTAATTATAACAGTTACAAGCCCAAGTAGCAAATGATCATTTAAAACAGAGTTCCCCAAACTTTTTTGTGTCGTGGACCCCTTGCCATGTTTTTCCGTGTTGGGTAGACCCCTACTTAAGTAATATTGATTTCCTGTAAATTTCTTACTGCAGTGAAGTTTAGTGTTAAAAACTTAAAGTAAAAACACATGTTAATTTATACATTTATTAATTGAATTTAAATTAAAACTACTCAAAATAAAATTTTGTATCTGTTATGTAAAATATATGTAACATTAAATAAACAGATGTCTGACCAATAAGTGCCCGCATTGAAAAAAAAATAAGAGAGATAAAATAAAAAAAAAGTGAAAAATAAAAAAAAAGTGTTTTACTTAAAATAGTACAAATAGTACAATAAGCGAGTTCGTTTATTAATTATAACGTAAACGTATGTTCTACAATAATTTCACTGTTAGTTTGATTAAATTCCGATTCTTATACGTTTAAGTTATCTAAAAATAGGCAAAAAATTAACGAATTTTAGTGAATTTTCAGAATAATTTAAAAAAAATATTTTCTATAAAGGGGGGTTCTTGAAAAAAATCAATGCGGGCACTTATTCCCAATGCGGGCATTTATTGGTCAGACACCAATAAACATAAAATAAACTATAAATAAAGTAACATAAGCAATAAGTCAATATTTTTAGTGAGAAGGATGAACCTGATGCTTTAATAATAAATTATCAACATTTGGCGTCAATTTTGTAAGGGTTAATCTTAAATCTCCTCGGCCAATGATGTCCAGTCTGTTTCTTTTTTTTCGTTAGGAGATTGGTAACAGCGCTGAACCCCCTTTCCACTAGGTATGGCGATGGAAAGGAAATTAAAAATTTCATCGCTATATTCTATAATACGGGATAAGTAACGGGTATGTTGTTTTGCAGCCAGAATTGCTGATATCCGTAAACTGAAGCTTAAGTTCTTCGTTTGTACTTAGTTCAGTCAGTTCCTCTTGTATTATGACATTCGTTTCTTCTATGTCACCATATGGATTAATTATCCACGGTGGTATTACCATAGTCAAAATATCCTCAAACCTAGATTAAAAATCTGAATAGAGGGCATTTAAATGTTGAACGTAAGTTGAAACGTCGTCTTCCTGGCAGCTTGTATGTGACAAATTGGGGAACTGAGAAAATTCGCCCCGTCCAATATTTTGCTTCATTAGTTTAACTCTGACAAGAAACGCTGATAAGATGGACCTTTTTGTTTTAATCAAATTTAAACTGCCGCCTTGTAATTGCAAATTACCCATATTAAATTTTGTAAACAAATCTGTTAAATAGGCGATGTCTGTTTTCCTCTTCATTAAATTTTCTTTTAAAATGTTATCTTTAGATCCAGAAATTCTAAAATAGTCTCAAAAAGTGCAAAAAATCTTGTCAAACATAAGCCATTTCGACAGCCAGCGTACTTCAGTGTGAAGGAGTAATTGATGAAAGTGTTGGTCATTTTCTTCACACAACTGCGCAAATAACCGCATATTCAACGCGTTGCTTCGGATTCGGTTTACTGCATCAATGACTAAATGAAGTGATTCATGCAATCTAACACTCAAATTTTTAGCAACTAAATGTTGTCGATGGATGACGCAATGTATTGCTAACACCCCTGACACATTTTGTTTTAAATAGCTTATAAATCCACGATAACGTTTAACTATGGCAGGTGCTCCATCTGTAGCTACTGATATGATATTTGATAAAGGAATTGCTTTTTCAAGGAATTAATCCTTTAAAACATGAAATATTGATTCACCTTTAGTGTCGGTTATCAAAGTTCTTGCGAAGAGCAGTTCTTCGTAGATTTCTTGATTCATAATACAACGAACATATGCCAATAATAATGCTGCATTATCAGGTAAAGTTGACTCGTCCAGTTGTATAGAGGAATGGGTCGTTTGCAAATAATTACATAAGAAGCTTTCAATATCAGAACTCATTTCATCAATACGTCTTTCAACAGCATTGTTGCTTAAGGGAATTCTTTTAATGATATCAGATGCAGGTTTGTGTAAAACAGTTTTTAAAACCTCTTCAACGGCTGGCAAAATTAACTGCTCTCCGATAGTATGCGGTTTTCCGGATTTTGCTATAAGTAACGAGATATTGTAAGACGCCCGCAAACCATCATCATTTCTTTGTGACGTCGAAGCGAACATTCTGTCCAGTGTAGGTCTCTTCTGAAATTTATCTTTGAGTGTTTGAAAGTATTTCAAATCTTTCTCAGTTTTATCAGGGTGGCATCTTCTCAGATGATCTTGCAGTTTAGATGGTTTCATAGCGTTATTGCCAAAAACTTTGTTGCATAAAAGGCACATAGGCGATTGTTTGTCCGGCAATGATGGAATGAAGCCAAATTTCAAATAATGAACACTGTACTGTCTACATTTCTTTTTAGATTCGGACATGGCATCAGTCATCTGTGGGCAAAATTAAATTATTTAAATAAGACAGAAAATCCAGCAGCTGTATATTAAAAATATTTTTTGATTTTTCCGAAAACATTCCATAATTCGAACATCTTGCAAAAATTAGCACGAATTACGGAGATTGCACTGTAATTATATTACCGATTGCTAAAACTTTCAAAAAGAAACTATTGAGGAGTACTCGTGTAATTTTGCATGATTGAATATTTAACTACTAATAACTAAAGTTATGATTGGCGTAATTTATCTATCTTTGCTAACTACGAGTACAAAACTAAAATTTAATAAAGAATAATATACTTACTTTTCTCCAGCACTCTCAAACAAAATAACACTGACTCACTATAATTTGTGTGATATACCATCTGTTTAAATTTTTTAAAATATTTTCTTAGCATTTTCCTTTTCAAGATTCAGGAAACGAATGAACGTATTTGTCCCACATTCGTATTTATAGAGTGACGAATTGAACAAGTCAGTGCATGGTAGCGAAGCTCTGTTTAGGTTAGGTTTTTACAAGTTCAAAATGTATTGCGACCACAAAGCGAATACCAACATCCTACAACTTACACAATTTTATAAACATATATAATACATTTTTTACTTCATGGGTACTTTTATAAATAATGTATATGTTTTGATATTATAAGATAGTATGATGTAAGTAAATAGGTACTATCAGTGTATGTGTTGAAATCCACTATCGTGGACCCCCATATTCATTTCATGGACCCCCAAATTTTTTTTCGCTGACGTAGACCCCTTGCAGGTTGTCATAGACCCCTAGGGGTCGATATAGACCACTTTGGGAATCAATGAATCAAAACCACTATTTTTTTAAACTATACAGTAAAACAGAAAATACAACCACAAACCAACAACGTTTAATATATCACAAAACGTATACACTGATTATTATCTTATTATTTGTTATTGGCTCTTTGATAATTTGCAGGTATGGTACGCTCCTCTTGAAATCGCGCTTACGATCAACAACTTAGCTCAGGTCAGAAGCTAACTTTAACTTAGGTCAGAAAAACGCCAGTTCGTAAGCAACTATAGTGTGAATTTTAACATTTTGTCAACTCTTCCATTTCCTCGCTAGTCATATCGTTGGTGTTCCGTGAAAGTCCGAGCCCCGATTTTTGCACCGGGCGACAACCGGCAACATCGCCTTGAAGGTCTGCAGCGAGCGGCGGTGGACAAAGTATGTCAAAAATTTAATCTCCTGAAAAGTATTGCGAAATAGCTGTCAGATTCCAGCAAAGTTACAAAATACAGTCCATCCCGTTATTTATCATTCCGATCAAACCCGTACACCTGGAAAGCATTAGGTCCTATTACACTACTTGCAAAAATTAAGGGATCAAATAGACATTGTAAATTATAATAATTCTTTAAAGTACTGTATCTCAGCAAAAAATGGTCGCAATTCAAAGCTTTAAATGTCCTTTACTAGGATCTTTTAGTGAGAAAATGCTGCAGGTCCCATTTAATCATAGAAAATAGTGTGTGTGCGAATTTTTACTCTTTTATTTAGCCTTACGCACTTGGAAAAATGTTTTCCGCTAAACCATTACATGGACTGAAACGCCGGTTCATTTAACTTGAATTTGCCTTTATCAGAACCTCGATACGACGATTTCTTGCTGACATATCGAATTTTTAATGAAAGAGAGTCATTTTGGCTTAGTTCCTCGATCCCTTTCTCAGACTTTCAGGCAGCAGCAGTGGCCGCAGTGGTAGACTCTTCGGTCTCCTGATCAGTCGCCATGCACTGCGCGGGTACAAATCCCATCCCAAGAGAAAGTTTTCTCTTGGCTATGGATGTTGCGATTGTCGGTAGGTGGGTAGACGGTCTCTGACTGTCGAACGTGGAGGTACCACTCGGCGGACCAGAATGTGTGCATGTTGCATGCACACGTGTTCCCTCGCCAGAATCCCTGTGGCGTAACCCCTTTCTCCTGTATCCCCTTATAGCCCCACGGTACCCCATGGGTATTTAGGCCTTAGGCCTTCGTGGTAGTTGGAGTATACAAAAATCTCAAGTCCGTGGACTGGACGGAAATTGCAATTTTTTATACATTTTTCCTAAGACTGTGTAAGACTTACAAATTCAAAAATATGTTGCCTAAACTATCCAAAAACGAATCATATGAAGTTTGAGATGTTTTTCTTGAAAGCTCAATAAGACCATTCATTACTTTTGTAAGCTTATCTCAAACACATTTTTGCATACGAGTCCAACCCTCTAGCACATAAAACCTTTCCAGTAGGTTCACAAGGCTGCTTAATGTCACTCAGCGCTACGGCCCTTACGCCTGTTTACATTATACATTCCATTCCTTCTCTGGGTACTTGTTCCCAGGATAAACTTTGTTAAAGATACGGGCGTGGATGGCGGTGCAGTTCAATTATTGCTGCATGGAGGAGATCGCTTCTCAGACCAAGTAGTGCGCTTTGTGAAACTTGATTACAGTGTTGATGTGCTATTGGGTGTAGTGTTTTGCTTACCTGGAAGGTGAGCATCACTGAGTGTTTCCTTTATTCTACTGCATGCTTTGATAGCCATAACATTATAAAGATGCTATACTTTTTACCTTCATAATTTAACTTATGGCTTACGACTTGTTATTGAATATCCGCAGGTGGGACGCCTCCAGGTTCTGGGGGTTGTTATGGGACTTTCGGGTTGAGGTAGTTATGTTACTTACTGCTCGGTTTCCTCTACCAGGGAAAACGTCGGAGCGCTTTGGATGTTGACACAACGGCCCTTGGCCAGCGTGATATCCCGGTTCCTGGACTGTCTTTTTGTAACAATCCTTAAACTCAGCACGTCTGACCATACGCCTAGCGACCCAAGAGTTAGAGTTAGTCTGTGTGACAACTCCGAGTTAGTCTGTGTGACGCCTCCTAGTCAGTCTGTGTGACGACTTAATGATCAGTCTGTGTGACGGTCAGGATTAGTCTGTGTGACGATCCCGTGATTCAGTCTATGACGAATCCGTAGTAGTAGTTGGGGTACATTAATGTAATGGTATGCATGTGATGTCATGAGTCAGTTGAATACGGGAGATACTCATAAGTCTTTTCCTAAAAATAGGCGATAGCCCCGACAATCCGATCATAATCGCCCTTATCGCTTGCCAAAGGAGGATAACACGTTGTCGTTTCGTCACCAAGTAAGTGACTCTAATATTACCCTGACATTGTTGCCCATATCAAATTGATTACGTACTGCCCATGAAGTAAAAATGAAATGGTACGGGGTGGTACTTCGGAATCTTCTAAGATGAGATGTATTAACGTTTATCGTTATATTGCTATTATCATATTACGGTTCGTATCCCACACTTTTACTCTAAAACTTCGCAGTTCTTATTTGTTCTGTAGCGCCCCGTGAGGGGACCTTAAAGCTTTCTCGGTATCCCCGTATACTCTGGCACCGGTTTGTCGGCGTCTATCTGGTCTCAACGCTCGATTATATGTACGTTTCCTGTGTGAAACAAATAACCGAATAGCGAGATGGATAAATTTTAGGGGCACAGTCGTCACGCGCGCGCTAAAGCCAACCGATGAAATGCGATGGACTTCCCCTATCTTATATCAGGACCGAATTTAGGATATTGGCCCGCAGCGTTATAACACGTAACTGTACCTGCAACTGTCAGATTACAATTCGCTTTGTCACATTGCGATGTCTCGTGCGAATAGATAAGGAGCCCAGCCTATATGTTTTCATTGTATTGTTTGTCGCCAGAATTGCTCATTTAACTACCATTGCTTACCAAAGTGACAACGTATCAACATAATAGGTGGAAAGATCTACCTTCATTAAGCTTGTGCCGCTTGTGGATGATGTCATCAGCGAACAGGATGCAGAAAATGCTACTGTTTTGCTGTTATTGGACTACACGAAAGCATTTGACATAATTAATCATGAGATACTAGTGGCTATGCTGAAATATATTGGATTTGAGCAGCCGACCTATGCATTAATAAATTCTTTTTTGACTGAAAGTATGGAGCGCGTGACTTTGGACGGGAACATATCGGATACAGTTACAATTATATCAGGGGTACCCCAGGGCAGTATTTCGGGTCCGTTATTGTATAGGCTATATACTTTTAATTTCATGAAGTCGCTAAGTTATTGTCAAAATTATCTTTATGCTGACGACACTCAAATGTATGCCTCTTTTAAACCTGATCTGGCAGAACCTATAACAAACCGACTGAATACCGACTTAAATAGCCTTCTCAAAACCTCTGAAGATCACTTGTTAAAGATAAACCCTAGTAAATCGACAGCTATGTTGTTTTGTAGTGATTCCTACAGAAACGTATTACAAAATAATATTAAGGTCAAACTAGGGGACTAGGGATTCCGTGAAGGACTTGGGCTTAGTGGTTGACTCTAAACTAAAGTTTAGAGAGCACATTACTCTGTGCCTAAGAAAAGCATATTCAGTGTTAAAAATAATTTATCCCTATAGAAATTACCTATCACAAAATACTAAAGTCATGCTTTGCGAAGCTTTAGTATTGTCCCATTTCAACTTTGCTGATATGGTATATGGCCCATTTCTTGATAGTGTGGAACTAAAACGGGTTCAAAAAGCTTAGAATTCTTGTCTGAGACTGATATTTGGCATAAGAGGTAGACAAAGAGCCCACAAACTACCTGAACTGAGATGGTTGAATATGGCTCAGAGGCGTACCTTGCACTCTACTTCCTTTTTTTACAAGATTATAAAATATAAAAGTCCCCCTCATCTTCACTTAAAAATCAGTTACCGGACTGATGTACATAATCTAAACATTAGACGGTTGAATTTGATCACAATACC